AACACTTCAGCACTTCAATATACCGACAGTCAACTTGGCACCGCTGAAGAGACTGTAGCACCGCCCAAATTTCGACGGAATCAAAGGCTTTCTCATAGTCCACATACGCCAGGCAAAGTAGCAGATTGTACTCTTCGGACTTCTGTACAATTTGCCGAAGGGTATGTATGTGGTCTATGGTACTAAAGCCTTTTCGGAAACCGGCTTGTTCGGGAGGCTGGAAGTCGTCGAGTCTGCGTGCGAGACGATTCGTAATGACTCTCGAAAATAGCACGTAGACGCGGCTCAGAAGGGATATCGGTCTGTAGTTCTTCAAGAGGGTGTTGTCACCTTTCTTGAAGAACAAGACCACCACAATTCCGCTCCACACCTCCGGAGTAGTGCCACAATGGAGGACGGAAATAAAGAGACTCTGAAGGACTACAAGTACAGGTTTTCCACCCGCTTTCAGAAGCTCCGCTGTAATTCCATCCTCGCCCGGGGACTTGCTGTTTTTAAGGTGCTGGAGAGCCATTCTAATCTTGCTCAGACACGTCCGGGATATCATCGGAATAGTGTCGGATAAGACTTGCTTTTGGATCGTTACTCACACTTGCGTGTGGCTCCAACGATGACGTGTACAGCTGCCCATAGAACCTCTCAATCTCACTCAGAATCTCAGGTGTCCCGGAAACGATGCTGCCACACTCAGTCTTCAGCTTTGACAGTTGGCTTTTTCTGGCAGACAGATCTCTGGCAAAGACTTTGGAGCCCTGGTTCCGCTCGATCGCTTCTTCAATACGAACAGTATTAAAGTTGCGTAAGTCTCGCCGCATGCATTTGGAGATCTGTCTGTTCAGTTGCCTGTATGCTGTCAAATCTGTTGACGATTGCAGCCTCATCTCCCGTCTAACAGCCATGAGATTAAAAGTGTGATCGGAGAGTTTTTGTGTTCTTCTGCGGCGGGTCTTGCAGAACTTAGCTCCGACCGCATGGACAGTTTTCACTAGCTTGTCATTCATATCGTCCACTGCATTGTAATCTTCTAGGTACTGAAAGCGGTTACGTAACTCGAGCTGAAATGTTTCGGGGTTCGGGATCAGAGCACGAGGGGGACGGGGCGTTGACTTCATTAGACGAGACCTGTCCAACTTAACGTTTAGGTTTAGTGTGCCTCTAACCATTCAGTGATCGTTGCCAGTTTTCACCCTTGCGATCACTGAGACATCACTGAACAGTTGGCGTCTGGTCTCCACAATGAAGTCAATCTCATTTTTGTCGAACCATCGGGGCTCGACCAGGTGTACTTCCTGTGGGGCCGCTTCTGGAAGAAAGAGTTCATCATAAAGAGTCCCTCTTTCTCCATAAATCATCTCATCTCGGCCAGCTGCCGGCCCCTACGGTTACGTTGCCCTACTCCAAATTTCCCTAACTTCAGCTCACCGCTTTCTCTTGTGCCTAGTTTTGCTTTAAAGTCTCCCATCAACACCATGTAGTAGGTTTTGGAGGAATGCATGGCTCTAGAAATATCCTCATACGTTTCCTCTAACTCCTCATGTGATCATCAACAAATCAACGTATAGACTTAATCCTAATAATATTTTAAAAAATAAAACACCGGATAAACACACGCAGCGCAAACATAAGTCCAGGAGATCCATGCTTCGTTAATATAAGAATCTTATCAGATCCATGCCGGAAGTGAATGTTTTTTTAAACATATGTCTCATGTAATCAAAATATAATTCCTGTAATTTTGACAAAAATATCATAGCTAACGTATTTCATTACTTATTTAAGAAAAACGACCGTCTAGATGACGTGCTCAATGAAACCAAGTACACGTTGTTGCTGGTCTAATAACCAACGGCAGAAACTTGCCGGCAGTCGTGATCACCAGGAACTAAAGCTTACACTTACACGCATGCTTTTTACGCGCATTGTATGGGAGCTTTCGGTCACGCTTTAACATCTTGTGAACTGTCCAGTATGACACACTTATTCGGCGACGCCTTGACAATTTAACAGTACTTTATAAAATTGTAAATTCATAATGCACGCGAAGCATTCCCGCGAGCTATTCCAAGGCACATTAACAAGTCACCGTAAAACAAAACGTTACAACAATTTTATAAACAAAAAGATAGAACTGTCGCTCACGCGCACGTCAACACGAAACTGTCTTAAAAATTAAACTAAGCCCACCACCACCGCTACTTTCGTGTGTCTTTGCGGTTAGCACTTTGACCATTCCACAGATCAACCGTAACGACATTCCCAATTTTAATTTTAGTTATACCAACAACTAGTCTTCATATGGAATTTAGAAGTTATAGTTGTCATTTTGTAATACAATTAGACAATCAATTGTACCCTGGCGCCACAAGCAGTTCGTTACTACAAAAATGATATTGAAATATACAAACGTACCTGATTGGGTACTCACTAACACAATTATGAACAAAATTTCATCGTTAATTTCAATTGCAATTATGATTGATAGTTAACTAATCTATCACAATTAATCTAAAAAATAATTCTTTTACTTTATTTTAATTGACTGTCCTTTTTTTAATCCCTCCAATACCTTGAATTTAAAATGAGGTAATTCAAAACTATTAAAATTAATTCCAAGTTTTATTGTGATTGCCGCCTCTAATTTTTATTTCACCTGCAAATTTTAGTAAGTAAATTTCGGTTTGGCAACGCCGCAACATGTGTGTGAAAGGGAAGGGTAGAGTGAGCGTAAATACAGTAATACCTAATGTATTGTTTCGTACCGAGGTCGATAAAAACAGTTCAGCGTCCGCGCATTTTTTGACCCTTTGTCAGCTGATTTCAGGTATTTAAGTTTCACTGCTGGTTTCATGTTTAGGTATGAAATTATCGTTTTATTTAGCTGTACCAACATGATAGAACATGAATAAAGCTAAGAAACATTGTAAAAATTTTTTTTTTCATCTGGATCGATTATCTTATTGTACCATCATCAAAGGTATCCTTCGTACTATCGTCTGTCTTTATTTTGGAGAGCGTTTCACAAATGTATATACATATATATCAAATTTCATTAAAGACCGATAAATATTGTAACATTAAGTAGTAAGTAGGGAAAGTAGTTGACAAACCTGGCAACTTTGTCAATCGAAAATAACATTGCAGAAGACATAAATAGTAAAATTTGTTAGAAAAATAGTTAAAAAAAAGTGTACTTAATTGAAATAAACGAGTGTATTTAAAAAACTATTATTTTATTTTATTTTTCAACATGTTTAAAATGGTAAGTAAAGGAAAAAGTTAAAACTGGTACTGACAATAATGAATGAATGTACAAATCATAATAACGACGTCATCGATGATGATGATGATAATCTGTCATATAATAGTAGAGGATTTTTAATTATATTTATTCACAATTTATCGCCTTCACCTCCTTGTTATCCAAAATATAGTGGACCCTGTCGGACTATCGAATTTGTCGGATTATAGAGTACTGCCTAAGACCAGTCCGGAATTTTTTACAAAAGAGTATCTTGTAATCTGACAAATTATTGATTCAATGATAAGATTCTATATGCTATGTATATGTACTCTGAAGTACAAATCATACTTCAGTATGTTTTATTATAAAATTAACGTCATTAAAACTATAGAACTTACAAAAAAAATGCACTTTACATTAGGAATGAATCAATCAATTTAAGAGCGTTATCAAGAAGCAATAACGCTTTTTGAGGAAAATCATAATCTTTCAACCATTATCAGAATCAAATTTTTCAATCAGAATCCAAACAATACCCAACATGTCGAGCACAATAGTGGTGGGACGTACAAGTTATAGCCTGTTTAATCATGCATTAGCAAATATTGTCAAAAAAATTCCAATAATAAATAATAGACCATGTTGGATTACAGGGGGTGCCAGATTAGACAAGGGCCGGATTACCAGGGTCCACTGTAATAGAATTAATTATAAACTACCAGCTCATGAGGTACCTTGAGGATCACCAGCTGATAAGTGACCCCCAATATGGTTTTCATTAGGTTCGATCAGCTGGTGTTCTTCTGGTCTACCTGCCTCATAGATGGGCGGAGTAATTAGAATCCAAGAGGGAGGCATTGACTTTTAGTTAGGGAATAGCGAAGGCCTTCAATCGAGTCTGGCACAAAGCGCTTCATTCATAGCTCCCTTCCTACAGGCTTCCTGAGAAATTGTCAACAATTGGATCACCAGTTTCCTTTCTGATCGGAGCATCAAGGTAGATGGCGCATGCTTTGATTACTATCATATTAATGCTGGTGTTCTACAAGGCTGCATGCTATCAACAACGCTGTTTATTCTACATATCAATGATATGTTGCAAGTTGATAACATTCATTGCTATGCGGACGACAGCTGGTGATGCCTTATATACCGGCCGTGCTAATATTTCTAGGGAAAACGTCGTCGAGTACCAGAAGAAATTGTATGAGGAGTCGAGATGTAAGTGTAAGATGCACCGAATACAGTACACGCCGCTTGGGTTCGTTACGTCCGTGTACCGTAAACGGTACACACCCTTACGGTACACATGGGACCTTTACGGACATATGGGGTTATCGAAAAATTCTATATGGGGACAGTTAACATGTTAGTAACAGCCTCTCAACAGTCCACTCGTGAACATAGGATTACTGAATAAATTAATATTGGATTGGATCCACTAGAGACTATAAAAGTCGCCTGTTGAACACAGGACTTTTCTATAGATATCCTCAGAGAGGATCTTACCATAGTCGCCAAGCTTGGCAGAAGGTCTGCAACCACAGCTTTTTATTATTTTGAGTTTTTACCACAAAAATGATTTACCCATCATCTGTTTTATTTTGCCTCTATCGTCTATTACAACAACTATGGACAATATGTGGTAGTGGATATTCTTATACTGTCACTATACAGCTAATACATGTACTGAATTGATAAGAAGAAAAAATATAGATAAGGTATGAAAATTAATTTAGATGAATTATTATAAACGTACCATCTACATTTGGAATGAACATGGTCTCCACTCCATTGCTGTGCAGTTTTGTGATATGAAGGTCAAATAATAACAAGCTAATAAACTGTTGATTGCATCCAGAGCATTTATAGCTCATATTTGATTTCATCTCCTCATCTTCTACAGTGTCAAAACATTGATGGGACTCTGTTGCAGATATTCTTTGGTTACATTTCATGCAAATCTCTTTCAAAAGTGGCTCCAACATATCCTTAAACTTTCGTGTGCTGAAATGATATATTAAATAATTTAATAAAAAAAATTAAAACCTCTGTAACAAAAAGAGCTGATGGTCTTCAAACGGCTAAGCAGATTTTCTTAAAACATAGCTCAGAACATTCTCGATTAAGACACTTTTCAAACAAAAACAACCTCATCAAAATCAGTTCACTTATACATGAACTATGATGCCACAGACAGACAGATAAACAGATGCACACTACAAACATATAACACCCCTCTGTTTTCATCAGGGCTTAAAAATAATATAAATAATAATTTATCATAATCACTCAAATGACCAAATTAAACACTTCACCAATGACTGGCATTGTAAGAAGCCTTTAAAGTCTAAAATTTATTTCATCTGAAAAATTCAAGACCTTATCGATGCTGCTTATAAAATAAGCAGATTAAAGGAAAAACTTGTCAAAAATATTATTTCTCAGAAAAATTTATATTACAAAAAAATAAAAATTGATATATTCAAAATTTTTATAAAACGTTTATGTAATTTTATATTTAAAAAAAATTAAATAAAAAGACATTTATTTCTCAATAATACTTTTTCAGGCATGGCTTTAGTAATCTCCTGCACGATTTAAGTGATCATTTTAGCTTTAGTTGACAGGCAATGATGCTATTGATTACCATCTAGCTGCTTTTTATACCGTAAATCTTTAGTTTTTGAGATATCAATAGTTAAAGTTTGAGGTTATATCCATTAATTTAAAAATCACAATGAATAAAACACAACATAGGTCCGTTAGGCGCAACCTAACCTGGCAGCAAGCACCAGGTTTGGTTAGAACTGTGACCACAACACACGAGCCAAGCGAGCGTGCTGCGGAAACGGCCGACGAAGTGCCAGAACCGACACTATAAATTGAGGGCAACACAGGACACAGCAGAAATAACCTAAATTTGGTGACTAACCTTTGCCGACCTTGACATTTTGTCAAAGACAGCAGAGGCTTTTCCCACGGTTTTTTTCCACCCTGAAAACTCCCACTGGGACTGGAATGTGATGTTTTCTGCTCATTTTTTTAAAAATGGAATGCAATTTTGCCTCAATATATAACATAATTAAATTCATTAAAAAAGGGGGGAGGTTTCTAGCATTTCTTCCTTTTAGGGGAAGGTTCCTAAACCCCCCCCCCCTCTACCCGCCCACTCGGCGACCATATATTCAAGCGGCAGATTACTAAAGAAATACCTGAAACAACCCCAGAGAGTAATTTAATATACTCGTGTTGGGATCCTTTGCTAACATTTATCAAGATCTCAACATTTTATAATAAAGTATTACATAAAACTAAATCCTTATTAACTAATTTATAATTTTTCAGTAAAATTTATTTATATTAAATGAAAATCTTGATAAGTCTTTTTAAATGTTTGATTTCGGCTACAAAACATTGATGATTTTATTTTGATTTTTACTAGAGTTCATTGTTTACATAACACTAGTGCCAGCATTAACGTTTTCCTGATATATACTCACTATAATATATACTCACTTTGCCTTACTTTTAGCAACATATTTAACTTGCGTACAGTGATTTTTCTGAATATGCATACTTGCAGAAAAATATGCAGGAAATATTTTCATACATATTGGACATTCATATTCTACATTTGACACATCAACAGGATTGGATAAAATTGCTGCAGAACCGTCCTTCACCGTTGCTTTGGTGTCTGCTTCTCTCCGGGAACATATATTTTTTTTCCTTCCAGATAATTTGACTTTACCAAATACAATCTTTGCCCGACAAGCATTCTTTTTTTTCTTAACAGCGCCCTTATTGGACGCATATTTCCTTTTTCCTCTTTCTTTATGAGCCAAATCTTGATGGTGTTTTAAAGATTTAGCGCTCATTAAGCGTCTACCGCAAATATCACATTTATATAGCGCTTTCCGAAGTCCTATCATTTCTGATTTGGAGCCCATTTACTAAAAGGTTTTTTTACAAATTATAGATTGTAATTCTAATAATCAAAGATGATATGGTAATAACTAGGTATTATTTTCTGTTTGCAAATACGTAGACAGAGAATAACAAATACCTATGAAATACCTATAGTATTATTTTTTCTAGCATTTGTTTTGAAGTTTCACTCACACACTCACAGCTCACAGACCAGTAATCTATGCTCACAGACTCTGGTCTCTGGTATAGATAATCAGTGTTGCCGTATGAAGAAAAAAAGATGTACTAAGCCCTTATCCAAAATGCGCTATATTTAACAAACATTTACTTTCTAAAATCTACCAAATTGTGCTAAGTTGTATCCCGTAAAAGTATGAGTAAATAAGAAATAATGTGATTATTTAAAGACATCTTCGTCTATTTAAGTAATATTAAGCAACAAAATCAACTAAATTAGATAATTCCAATTCGTCTTCATGGTCATCATCACCTCCAGATGCCGATGATGAGCCTACAGCTGCTTCTATTAATTTTTTTTTCACAGTTTTAGTTAGTAATTTGTCGACGACATTTTCAGGTAGGTCTTTATGTGTAGCAACTTTGCTTAAGAATTTTTTTATTGATGACGTATCATTATATTTGAATTCACTGTTTCACCTGACATCCGCTTACGTAGCTTACTTTTTACAATGTTCATAACGCCGAAAATCTGCTATACTTCAGCGTTTGAATTTTGAAGCAATAGTACGATGTTAGGTAAGTTCACTAATTCCCGAAAGGCATTCATCCTAGCGGCATTTTTGTATCTGGAGACTTGAGCCCAAACTTTCACTATATCATCACCATTTTCTTCTTATTTGACCAATTGAATTCCATGTCATTTGCTCCCACTCAGATTTATATTTCTGGCTATAAGCCTTCTTCCTCGGTAGCACCTCCATTTAAAATTTTCACGAAACAAACAAAACTCAGCTAAAAAACTAACACAAAACTCGTAAGTGGGAAAAGCCAGTTCTTCTCAAGTATTAAAGCTAGAAAAGCAAAACAGCTAGATATTACCATAATGCAAAATCGGCAACATGGTCGGAGAATAGTGATTTTTATCACACTGTGCTGCCAACTACGTAATATTAATTGTTCTGCAAGATTCCACTATATATAGAATATTCACAGAATATTTTTGGTGTTCAAATTTTTGAAAAAAGCGCTATAGACGTAGATAGAGAAACCTATAAACAAATTGATGCCTTCTTTCGCATTCCACCCGAAAAAGATAGACTTGCAATTTTTTTATTAATTCGGAATAATTTATCTTTTGGGCAATAGGATTTTCTATGGAAAAGATTCCAAGACATGACAGTCTTTCCTGACACATAGTAGAAACATAGTAAAAATTTTAAATGTTTTAATTATGCAATATAGAGGTAAGGAGTACAGACTCTGTATAAAAAAGTTTCCGTAGAACGTAGCGTTAAATAAGGGTGGCGCCACTGCAGCTACAGTTTAAATTTTAAAGAACTTTTTATAATTTTTTTATTGCACAGACTTTCACCATAATTATTTTTACAATAATTATTTTATTGCTTTCAAAATTTTTATTTTCAAAATCACTCTCAACGTATTTTACGGCGATTTATCCTTATGATTTATCCCTGTAGCTACTCGAGCGCTGTAGTGGAGAGTTTTTGAACTGTTATTTACTGCTTACAGATGGACACTTTTTCAACTTTTCTCCTATGGGAGTTGGTACTCCTTACTTCTACACTCCATAGTTTTAAATGTACAAAAACTTCGTTTCCATTTAGCGACATTTATAATACAGGGAAAATATTCTGCCAATCATTATTTTAAATAAGTCTGAGTACTTTATGTGGCTCTGCTGATTGAAGATCTTTAAATCCAATTATTTACAGATCTTCAATCAGCATAGCACAGCTCATAAGTTTCGGAACCAATTTAGAGTTAGACAAATCACATTATGCACATCTGTTCAACTGATTTACAACTCAACACAAGCTTTTTGACCTTTCAGAAATTATTTCATGTTGTATAAAAATGATCACGTATCATAGAATTTTGATAGTTTAAGTCGTGTAACCAATGCACTTTCAGTTGTAGCAATCATAGGGTAAAAAAACGTTCATTCATTCATTTTAAACAATTTCTTAGGATCAGTTTATGTCTCACCTACTGCATCGCAAATAATATTTTCTTTCTTCGGGATCGGGCTGGCTCAAAAATTGGATCTATTTGTCATTAGAGCAGATGAAAAGGCTCGGTACTGTTTTAAAATTTTGACAAAATCAAATATACGACACCTTCGGTAAAGTCGTAGATTCAGTTCACATAGCATTTTTTGTGCAAGCAGCTATAAAGGTCTAGAAAGACCAGTATCACTGCGACCTAAAAGATCTATTGTGATTGCTACTATGGCTGTAGTTCATTGCTAATCCCTATGTCTTCAGTTTCCTAGATGAGTGTTACGTTTCCGCATTAAGGGTCCACAATCAATCAGTTAGGATGTGCAGAGGCGTTTCTTCCGTTAAGAAAAAAATCAGAACATCATTGAATTGCTTAGTCCCAGGATGGACATGTGCTTTTTAGGACAACAGTATCCAGTCAGGGCTCTTGCCAGAATGCGTAGTTTATTTTTACCTAATCCCAGAGCTTCTGACGCACATTTACGATCAAAAACCAGGATATAAGTTTTAAAAATGTTTTAAGCCTGGTGTATCAGACCAGATCTGGTATGTTTTGGTATGGTTTGGACTTCTCTGCAAAATTGCATTACGTCATAAGCCGGAATGCCTGAGTTCGAGCATCGACGTCTCGAAATGCAAATACCAGCGCTCTTAAAAGAGAAGTATAATTCTGCCTCCAGGTCCTTCAAAAGTGTCATTGTCAAGGCAAAGTCAGAGCACATCGGCAGAATTGGCGAGAAACTAGTTCGTCTTCCTTCGGGAACACGTGCATTCTGGTCTCTCGCCAAGGCTATCCAAGGGAACTTCGGTCAGCCATCTCTCCCATATCTGCACAGGGAGTACGACTCACTGGCCCTGTCGCTAAGGACAAAGCAGAACTGCTGGGCTCTCTCTTTGCGTCCAACTCGACTCTCGATGACAGGGGGAACACACCACCTACTACCCCGCGGTAAGAGTGCTCCATGCTGGATGTGCTGTTTACCCAACGCTCGGTGCGCAAAGCACTCCTCTCCCTGGCAGTCAACAAGTCGACTGAGCCTGATGGCGGACCTCCTATTGTGCTGAAAAAGTGTGCTCCGGAGTTAGCACCGGTTTTAACTGGTCTTTTCCGGTACTCCTATTCCCAAGCGCAGTCCCAAAATCATGGAAGACAGCCTTCGTGCACTCGATCCCGTAAAAGGTAACCGCTATGATCTGTCCAACTATAATCCTATCGCCATCACCTCCTTGTTCTTCAAAATAATGGAGACCATTATTAACAGCCAGCTCATGCGGTACCTTGAGAATCACCAGCAGATTAGTGACCGCCAGTAAGGTCTTCGTTGCGATCGCTCAGCTGGTGATCTTCTGGGTTACCTTACTCATAAATGGGCGGAGGCAGTAGAGCACAAGGGGGAGGTGTTGACCATTAGTTTGGATATAGCGAAGGCCTTCGATTGGGTTTGGCACAATGCACTTCTTATGAAGCTTCTTTCCTATGGGCTTTCCGAGAAATTGTGCGATTGGATCACTAGTTTCCTTGCTGATCGGAGCATCGAGGTCGTAGTAGACGGTGTATGCTTCGATTACAAGCCCATTAACGCTGGTGTTCCACAAGACTGCCTGCTCTCACCAACGCTGTGTTTTTCGCACATCAATGACATGTTGCAACCGGTAACATTAAACAATATGCGGACGATAGCACTGGTGATGCGTGCGATACACCGGCCATGTCAATACTTCTCGGGAAAACGTCGCCGAGTACCGGGACAAATTAGTGTCTCAAGTCGAAATTTTGTTGAACAAAGTCTCGGACTGGCGGCTACTAAATCTAGTCCAGTTCAATCACCAAAAGACACATGTTTGCGCGTTTACCTCTAAAAAGAACCCCTTCGTCGAATCTCCTCAGTTTCAAGGCACTTCCCTTGTTGCTTCATCCAGTATCGGAATCCACGGCGTCAACATATCGAGTGACGTGCAGTTTCGTGGTTACTTGGAAGAGAATGCCAAATTGGCGTCTAAAAAGCTTGGCTTGCTCAGCAGAGAGGGACAGTAATTTCATGCCGGCCCACCGTCTGCAGCTTTACAAGGCGCAGTTTCGGCCGCACATGGAATACCGTTCCCGTTGGGCTGGGGCTCCCCAGTGCCAGCTCCTTCCATTTGATCGCATTCAGCGCAGAGCTGTTCGAATTGTCGGCGACCGAGCACTTTCCGATCGGCTTGACCCACTGGCACTAGGAAAATATGTTGCATCTCTTTGCCTTTTTTATCGCATTTACCACGGGGAGAGTTCTGAGGAATTGTTTGCACTAATTCCAGCCGCACAATTTCACCATCGCACATCGCACAAAACTCGCGATACCATACATCGCGTCGGTCCACCCCCGTGCGATTTAAAAGAAGTTTTCTTCCTCGCATAACTTTCTTGTGGAATCGAATACCACAGAGATTTTCCCGAAACGATACGACTTAGGGACCTTCAAGAAAAGAGCCTACTACTGCAATTCCACTGGTATTGCAGTTGTTCACGGGCGGCGAAAATCACTTACCATCAGTTGAGCCGTATGCTTGCTTGCCCCCTCTTCTATAAAAAAAACAAGTGGTTTATTGTGATAAAGAGTTTCAATGGTCAATCGAGTTAGGCTTTTTGAGATTCCACAAAATGGTTCGAGTCCAAATTGAATGCTCTTTGAGCCCTCCCGTGCGAAATCGTTGTCATGTTCATTGCCTACAATACACACGTGGCCTGGACCCCATCTTAAAACGATCCTGCTGTTACATCCCAAGACGTTTAGACGGTTTACGCAGTCTCCAACTAGCTT